ATTTTAAAAGTTGGAGAATATATACTTATACGAATTTTCTTCCCTTATTACAGTTACATCAACTACTCTCAAATTGCAGCTAGGTTAGTCAGGCAAGCCTTGAAAGCAGACCTGAGAGTAGAGGCTGCTAAACGCGACGAAGTTAATGTGAAGTTCACTCAATGGAAAGATGGGAAAGCCATCAGTATGTATGCCTCCGGATTTATTATTTCATTCTTGAATTCATATTAATAAAGAAAAATGTAATTGTTACAACGATTCTATTCTGTCATCATTTATATCGTATCATTTCTGTCACTTCTTTCTTTAGACACTTATATACTTTGTAGAATTTATATATTCTTTATTTTATTATACTTTTGTTATACGCACAATATATTTTGTTACAGCTGAAAAGATGTGATCGTAATGATCAGTAAGTGGATATTAGGAATCATTAGAAAAATGTTTCTTGTTTTAATAGTGTCTTTAATATTAATAGTTTTTAATGCAGGTGTGACAATTTACTTTAAAAAACATTTATTTGCCTTTGCACTTGATAATTGTGTATAATATAATTAGTAATTTTCCATTACCTTTTACTCAGTGAGAAATGACCAAAATTACATGTTGATTTAACACCGAAATTATCAATTCGAAATCGATTCGATATCTGTGTCATTTCTTACTGAATGCTGTGTGTATAAAAGGATTTAACAATTTTCCATATGTCATTCATATTTTATAATTTTAAATAATATACTAACGGCACGAAAGAAATGTTCTTGTATTCAATATTTATTCTTTATGTTACAAGATATTGTTTGAATAGATATGACCTTATAAATGTAACAATGATTAAAATTCTTCTTTAAAGCCAATTAACATTTTATCTTTGTTTATTAATAAATCTTATCCTCTTTAAAATTTATAATATTCATATATGATATTGACAATATATATATATATATACAAATTTTTGTTACAGAAAATGCTTAGACAATATCACAGATGGATGCAGAATTCATCCAATATACATTTATAGCCATAAGTATATATGAAGATCTCTGTCTCTATACAAAATAAAAACATTCTTAGCACTGTCATTTTTCTTTGATTTGACCTCCCCATTATTAATTTTTATACCGTCATCTTACAACAGAACAGTGTGTCTTGCAGTGAACTAAAAAATAAGATGCATTTATTTTATATGACAAAAAATGCTACTAGTAATTTTTGAACATCATACTTACTAATAAATTCAGAAACTAGATCATTCTCACTCTCTCCACGCATAGTTCCAGTAATCTCTTCATTTTCTACCATTGGCAAAAATAATTGTATAAATTCGGCTGTATATGGAGGGGCTATCGCTTCCAAGACCTAGCATTATAAATATCTATGCTTTAATAAAATATCGAAATAATAACCTATTAAAAAACGATATTATAATTTACCTCGGTAACGAAATATCTGATTAAAGATACATCTGTATCTCCACGTTGCCAACATTGCTTAATATAGCATACAACCGATACTACGCAGCCTTTGCTTAGTAAATTCACCATTCTATCGATTAACATCTTTTTCATTTCCAACTGGACATAGAAAAAAATTGTTCATATAAAATATCGATAGCTGTTCATCTTTTAATTAATACTACGTGAAATATACTTACTTGTACAAGTATCTCTAATTCGTCTTGTTTACTTTCAAACAAGTGCACAAGTAATCTTAGTATTTTTGGATGCAACAAAGGATGGCAAGTTACAACCTCGTCCAGTAAAGCGAGGTGTACAGGGCAATGCTCTGTACACAATTTGAAGTATGATGGTTCAGTCACAGTGCACTCTACCCATCGTATTATACCCAGGCTTACAACAGGAAATCTGTAATAAATAAATTTATTGGTAAAAATGTTTTTTTTCCCTGACATAGAAAAAAAATATCCGAAATCAATAGCTACCGTATGCATTGATACAAAGTGTGCAATTCTGCTATTAGCTCTGTCGAGCCTTTATTTACGTTACATATATTATGCACTTTCTCAATTGCTTGAATAGTTGTTTTCAACTCATCCTTATTAATTTTGCGGATATTACTTTTTTTAGGGATTGTTTCACATACACTTGCTGCATAAGCTAGTAAATATATATATTTTGATTTGTGTTCAGGATTTATCTTTACGCCAGGTTTAAAAAGCGCATCGACCAGTAATTCTGTAAGAAAGAAAACAAAATTTTATTATAGCAAGTTCAGTTCTTTGATTTCTTAGGGAAGCTGAATGGCTTAATGGAATAGCAGATTGTTGTTAAGGGAAAGATCTGGATCTGATTCTTAGTCCAATCTCCACATGTAATACAAAAAATGTTAATTAGAAAAATATTCCATTAACTATGTTTATACATCATGATTAATCAGGTTTAATAGCATCCGTAATTATTAACTGCTGATGTAAAATGTATAAACGCTAATTAAATCCAATTTTATGTCATAAAATCAGACTTAATTGGCGTTTATATGATATTTTACATCAGTAATTAATAACTACCAATGTTATAAACGCAATTAATGGTGTCATGTAAATATAGTCAATGAAATATTTTTTTAATTAACATTTTTTATATTATATGCGGAGGTAGAACTAAAAATCGAATCCAGATCTTTCCCTTAACAAGCATCTACTGTTCCATTAAGCCAACTAGCTTCCCTAAGACATTAAAAAACTGAATTAGCTATAATAAAATCTGATTAATAATAACAATGTGTAAACATATAGTCATTGTAAAATAAAAAACTAAATCAAAGTAGTTGAATAATATATTGTGATTTCATTATAATTTATAATATTTTGACCCAGTAAAAAAAAATCCATAAAAAAGGAAGAAAACTGCAATTCTTATTATTATAAATAGTTTTAATTTACCTAAAAATTGCGGATTGCGCAACAGTTCAATAGGAGGTGACTCTGCTGCAGAATAATTTCTAAATAAAACCGTGATATCAGCAGGATTTAAACTGTTTCTTGATAACATGGATGCTAATGCTTGACATGCTCCAGGACTACTAGCAGCACCATTCAAGGCCATTGTTATCGGTGTGACATCATGTCGATCTTGTTGTGCGCACTTGGTGATTTCTTGGGAAAGTCTTTTCATCATGAAACCACCACGGGTTTCTTGTGCAAGGATTTGCAACAAAACTTGACTGTACACATAAGTGTGTTGACCATGACACACCATTTTTGCACACTCTTGTATACTAGACTGCCAGTTTTCTGTATTTTGAAGAAATCCAGCAATCGCGGTCTTCAATACACGTGAAAAGACCTCGATTTGCTGAGCCGCAGTTGAAATGCTTGTAATCTCTCCTTGAAACCCAGCATCAGATATAAGTTTGATAGTAAAGTTTAACATTAAGCAATCCGGGTATTCCTCTGCAAGCCTATAAATAAGGGATCGCCAAGTAGGATGTTGTATCATTTCAGTTAACCAGGCAGGAGTTTCACCCTCTTCCGTAAAAATCTTATCTGCTTTTTTGGGATCAAAATTTTTAAGGATCATATCTTTCAAATTATTTTCCACCATCGCTTGTACATCAGTGACCTTTACTCCAGCAAGGATCAACCATTCTGCAAGAAGGTTCGCCATCTGTGCACAAGCCGTGTAATTTTTGGACAACAATTCTATAACTTGTTCAGGATTTCCTCCAGCTTGAAAGTATCTTTTAAGTTGGGCAAAAATACCAGGCTCCATAATATAATCAGCTGTTTTAAACTTATCCAAGCATTCGTTCAATACTTCCTGTGGATTATCGAATGTATCTTCGCCACTACATTCATCAGTGCTCCGATTCCTCTCGTCTCTCCAACCACCACGGTCGTCATCATAATCAGTCTCCATCTATACATTAAATTATATTAGTCATTAATATATTAGTGCATATACAATACGTATATTGCATAGTTTTCTAAAAAAATTCAAGACAAACTATAAATACAAAAAACTTTCCATCATTTCACATAATATAATTGTATTCTTATATGTATAATTTAAATAAAGTTATACATATAAAAATACAATTATTTATCAGTCTTTCTTATAAATAATCAGTATATAAGTAATTCTTAATATGTATAACATATTTAAAGATAATATTACAAAACATATAAATATACAGGTTAAAAAAAATTATAAATCTATTCTCTCTAGTTGAACTTCTTGTACGTTTCTTTCCTATTTTTTCTTCAATATGGAGAGAAAGATAAGAAAGATAAATCATGAAGAAGTTTAAACTAAAAAGAAGGTTTTATATATAAAATTCATAAAATAGTGAACATCTTTATACAAATTCTTTACGTCCAAATGTATCACAATGTTCCAAATAAGAGAAATATTTCTCTGTAAGACATTGACCAATAAATTGGAGAATATTATTATTTACAAACCTTTCTCGAATAAGGCAAAATGCTACGTTATATGAATTACACTGCACTTCACTATACACTTTAACTGTACTCAACTGAACTAACGCTAACCACGTCAAACCGTAACTGACCGTAACTAACTACCAACAGTGCTGACGGTGCTGACACTGATTGCAGCGACTGTACCGATTACTAACTACCCACTAATGGCAGCAGGGAGCTTTCCAACAAGCGACACTGGTGAGCTCTTTTATCTGATTGGCATATTCTGTTAAATCCTAAAATATAGATCAATCAAGTAAAAGAATTCTCTGAGCTGGTTGCGCATCTGGATGCACCCTAAATTTCTTTATATTCTCGAAATTTCTTTTCACGTGCATGACGAGATACGATTGGCTGTACCACGTTGTTTCAACTTGTGTCAAGTGCGAGAGAGGCAAAAGGCAAAAAGTCCAGTCTCGCGCCTCCGATTGGCCGGACTCCGCGGGAGTGCGCCACGCGCGCGTCACGTGGGCAGGGCATGCGCAGTCAAGCGCGATTTGAAGGAAGCCTGCTGGCGCCCCGGTGGCGGTCTTCGTGATTCGAGCGCGGCCATATTCCCTCTCGTGGCTCTCTCGTCCGTAGGAGGTAGGAAAGGTGGTGCGCGGTTCCGGCGGTGACCGAAATTTCCAGGGAGGCGATGCTTGCGACGCGCGTGTGCGTTTCGTAACGGTCGTCGTGCAGCGACGAGTGCAGGGAGTGAGAACGGCTAATCATGCCTAGAGAAGGCGGCAATCCGACCGGCAGGCGGCCGTCGTCGCGCAATGCGAAGCCCTACGATGCGAACAACGTGAGTAGCCACCTCGTCACCACGACGGGCGACCGTCGCAGCGTGAGCGTGCCCGTGACAGAGATGGGCCGCGCGCCCTTCACGCGCCCTTTCGTCACCAAGGTAGCACGGCGATCTGACCGAGGACGAACGCCGACTCCTCGCCGCATGATGTCCCGCATGCCCGCTCGTGGTCCCCCCGCGCAATGTCCACGGTGTCACGGTTATGTGAGTGAGCCCGATGATAACCTCAATTTTGCTCCCCGTGTCTCGCGTGTTGCGCACGAATTGTCGTGAAACGACCTCGACGAACGGCAACCACCGAAACGCGACTCGGAGGTGTGCATCCATCCGTTCGTATAAGCCTCCGGGAGTTTGAGAAACGCGGATTGTGTTCCTCTGCGCGTCTCTTTCTCTCCTTCTCTTTCTCTCTTCCTCGCGTCCCCCCTTGCCGAGCATCGCGCGCTCTGCGTAGGTCTTCGCGCGAATCTTCGCGGTTACGTTATGCGGTAACGCGATTTAAACTGTAGCTTGAAAAATATATTTATGCTTACGACCTAATCAAATGAAAAGTATAAACTTGATAAAATTTACAGCGTGATGTTATTTGTAATACATCAAATTTGTAAGATTTTTGTAATTTGATTCTATTTAAAAATATTGTTTTAAATCTTACAGAATTAAGATATTTTGATATATTTTTACGTTGCTTGCAATATGTTTGAGTCTGACGTTAAAAGAAATACCAATAATTGCGATTTAAAATGTTATAATATTGGTTATATAAATTGCATTAATACACATGTATTCATAATTTGTTTATTTATATTCTTTACAGTCATTTGTAAGAAAAATGGCAACCAAGGTAACAGATTTTATACCACAGTCGTCATGGATTAGTAAGTGGTTCAATACCTCTCAAAGTAATGAGGAGGATGCGTTAGAAGATAGAGGGAATATTGATGAGACAGAACTCGAGGATGATGTACAGCAACCTCCTCCTAGCAAACGATCGCGTATTCGTATGGATGTGATTCATCCACCCGGTACATTTTCTATACAAACGAGAGTTAAAACTGCTTTGAATACAATTGAACCCTCTAAAGAACAGTATCCCGTTCATAATGAAATGGTAACTGAACAATTTTGTTCGACGAAATATTTGGAGATGGTTGAACTTTGCTTATTAGAACTTATTTACAGGCGGAAGATTTTGCAACAGCTGGACCAAGTGGAATAGGCCATTTAATGTCCTCTACTCCTGCGGTGCAAGCAGACATTAGGACTGTAACGTCTCATAGATCTGACTTAAATTCATTAGCTTCGACTAATAATGGAATAGCAAATGGAATGGATGATAATTCAGAATCCAGTGAAAGTACTAGTGGATGCAGTTCGCTTATTCCACAGATAAATAGGCACGAAGGCCCATCAAACTTGTTGTACAGTTCAACGTTTACTAGTAGAAAGAGGCATCTTGATGATAAATTGACATTTAGTGAGTATAAATCATATATTGTCCAAAAGTTAATCGTAATTAAATATGTGATATTAAATTGGTTAATCTTTAGAGGACAGCGATTTTTTAAATCTTACAGCCTTTTCTTGAGTAAAATTTGTTAATAATTTATATTTTTCATTGTATTTCTTGCCTCAAAGTATAATATTGTTTCAATGACATATTCTCGTGGCTTTCCTGTCCTATAAAAGTTAATTAAATGTGTTAATTGAATTACTGATGTTTTGTATTTGGTTGAAAATTGTTATTTTTAAAGAATATTAAAATATCGATACATATATTGTACAAGTATTATCTTTCTGTTTCAGCTAATCATTTACAATCTCCAAGGTCCTTGTTTCTAGACAGTAATTCTCGCGATTCTTTAAGCAGTCGTAGACCGAGTTTTAACGCATCAATTATAACAAATGCTGCAGATCGTGCATCTCCGTTATCCTCTCCTTTTTATAGTGGTAATATTACTTTCGGGGGTGCAAATGCAGCAGGTCTTTATAAACGAAGTCGTAATATTTTTAACAATTCAAATGAGGTACATATCTTGATTTTTTCTTAGGGAAGTTTTGTTCCCTTGTGTCTTGAATTATTTTAAACAATTATATAATAAGTTATTAATATAATAGATCACACTCTGGATTATATATTTATTTTAGATACAACTTAAAGTACCAAGGAGGACGAATATTGAAGTTAAACCTTCTGATGCAGTAGGAGTTGATTCATCGGGAATGAGTCAAACCGCCAAAAAGATATTGGAAGCATTAGAACATTTTTCTTCACCTGTATCCGACGCGAAAAAAATTCCGTTAAAAAACACAAATAATGCTGTGTCTTCGGTGAGCAGGAAAAGAGCACGAGAAGAAACACCAAATCCATCTGCTAGAATTGGTCTGCGTCATTTGACGCGTGAATTAACAGTACCAACCGTCCCCGATATATTGAAGTTAAGGCGGAGACAAAAGCTACAAGATACAACTCTTATGGCTAGAAAGATCGTTTCCGCTCGTAGCGATCCACCTCCGCCTCCGCAAGAATATCGGCTGAGGTATGTTTATTACCAAATGTAGTTTTATGCGTTTGTTGTAAATATACAAGTCCATATTTTTCAAAGATAAATAATATTAAAAATTTTTTTTTGTTTTTAGGACGGAGGATACCGATAGTGAAAAGTACCGCGGCAAGTTAAAGGGCAAATCTAAAATAAATCTAGAGCAAGAAGAAACGGTGGCGCCTGTAAATTTGCCGAACATACCTCTGCCAATAACAACGTTACCTAATTTCAATTTTACCTTACCACCCCCTGCTTCACATTCCGCAGGCAAAACTATAGCAAATAAGGAAAACTCTTTTACATTTGCTAGCCCTATTAAAGTAACAGATGCTGGGAAAAGTTTGCAGTCTGTCAACAATTTCACTTTTAGTAATCCAATTAACGCCGAAGACTGCGCGAATAATTCGACTGATTCAAATTCACGTTCATTAACAGGGAATGAATTTACTGTTGATTGTGCGGTAACATCTGTACCAAATTTCATTTGGAGTGGCTCATCCACAGCACCCAGATTAAAAGCAAAAGTAAAAAATATGTCTATGCTGCCGCAGGAATTGAAATCGGGAAGTGTTATGGATGTACTTTCCAAATCTAGTAAAATAGAATCTAATTTAATTGGACAGACAAACTCGGGATTGGCTTCTGAAACGACACACACTGACAAAACTATCAGCTCAGATTCTGATATTACAAGCACACACGATAAAGAATCGTCTTGGGAGTGTAGTGAATGTATGATTAGGAACAATAGTACAGACAAACAGTGTACTGCATGTAAAATGCCTCGGTTCAATCCGAATGACAAAACTTCGTTGCCCTCAACGTCAACAATAGATACAGTCGTGGAAACAAAGCCAATTGAGCCCGATTGTTTCGGGTCCCAGTTTAAATTATCTACGAATCAATGGGAATGTACAACTTGTTGCGTAAGAAACAAGCAGAGTGATATCATGTGTGTAGCATGCACTACACCAAAACCAGGAAGTAGTTCTGCGATGCAACAAACTGTTAAATCTCAAAATTTTGATCTAATGGATAAGTTTAAACCGGCCAAAGGATCCTGGGAATGCTCCGGTTGTTTACTAAGAAACGCTGCGAACATTATTACGTGTCCTTGTTGCAATATGTCTAAACCTACTACTTCTGTAAAAACAAAACCGAAGACGACGGATAATGTTACAGAGTCATCTGCGCAAAAGTTAAACACTAGTACAGAAGTCACGGCAACGAAAGAAATATCTAATTCTGAAATAATGAACAAATTTAAACCAAGCAAAGATTCCTGGGAGTGTCCAGGATGCCTTGTTAGAAATAACAGTTCTGTTGCCACCTGTCCTTGCTGTAGCACACCTAAACCTAGTTTTTCCGTTGGAGGACAGAGCAAAGCAGAACAGACTTCAAGTAATGGGTTTGGAGACAAATTTAAGAAACCAGAAGGTGCGTGGACTTGCGATTCGTGCTTGCTACAAAATGACGCAAAACATACAGAATGTGTAGCTTGTCAAGCTTCAAAACCTGGTACTGTAAAATCAAACGAATCTTTATCGAGTAGTTCTACTTTGCAATTTACGTTTGGTGTACCGTCTGGTACAACAAACTTAACTAATCAACCAAGTGGATTTAAGTTTGGTATAGATAAATCTGATAATCAATCTAAATCCGACACAACATCTCCCCTAAACGGATTTAAATTTGGTAATGCGCAACAGAATAGTGGTACGGCACAGTTTACATTTGGCATTCCAAAGGAAGAGAATAAAGCTGTAAGTGAAGCAGCTAAAACTACTAATAGTGTCACTACGTCTTCTTCTAGTAGTACAGGATTTGTACTCAATGTGAAAAGTCATGAAAAATCCGAATCTACTAATCAAGATCAGGAATCTAAACAGGAAACACTTTTCGGTATACCAAAAAGCGAAAGTTCAACAACAGCAAGTGAGAAACAGAGTATTGTGTCCAGCGCTCCATCGGCTGCTCCTTCTTTCTCCTTTATGGCAGGATTTTCAAATGAGAAACCAGGATTCGCCTTTCCAACCAAGAATCAGCGTGTTCAAAGTTCCTCAAAAAAGACTTCCTTTGCAATCACTGTGACAGAAAGCTCCAAGTCAGCAGCAACAACTGATGCAGTACCAACTAGCACTAATACGACGTTACCATCGTTAGTGACGCAAAAAAATATGACAAAGAATATATTAGACGCAAAATCGGAGCCGACGTTCTCATTCGGGGTATCAAGCAGTGTAAGCGCTGCTACTACAACTTCCACGAATGCAACGACTACTTGTCTTCCAACTTTTGCTCAACCTACTTTCACATTTTCCGATACAAAGACGACATCTCAGTCAACTACAGTACCGTCTTTTAGCCAAGTTCCGACCTCATCTGCCACGTTATCCACGAGCGTGTCGTTCGGAGAGAAGGCAACCGATCGAGTTCCACATCGCTGTTCACCAATGAGTCGAAGACGACGATAGCATTCGGCACGGACAAACCGTCGTCATTCACCACGACGGGCAGCAAGCCGCCAGGATTTGTCATTCCCGAGAACAAAGGAAATGTTACAACGTTCGGCAGTAACACTGAGAGTAAACCACCAATTTTTGCTACACCGGAAACGAAGTTACCCGTATTCAATCCACCCACGGCAAACCCTCTATCAACGTTCGGCACACCATCCAACAGTGCTACTTCGACACCTTTTGGATCAACTAATACCCCGGCCTTTGGAAATAATACAACATCTGCTTTTGGCAGTGCTACGACAACATCTACTATATTTTCAACCACCAAGCCCGTCGAAACTAATGCTGCGTCGAACAACTCTTCTTTATTCACATTCGGCTCGGCTTCATCGCAACAGTCATCAAGCGGCGGATTTAACTTCTCTGCAAATGTTAATCCGGTCACGTCACCTGCGAAGCCACTTTTTACGTTTGGTAGTAATTCAAGTACGCCACAGAATAGTAACAACACTTTCAGTAGTGATACATTTGGAGCTAACTCCGCTCCAACAAACACCAATTTTGCGTTTAATCCACCTAAACAAGAAGCACCGGCAGCATTTGGTCAAGGCGCAGCGGCTACTCCGATATTCGGTGCTCCACAAACAAACCCACAAACTCCAGCAACATCATCGTTCTCGTCTACTCCTTCGTCCAGTACAGGATTCAATTTTGGATCTACAGCTCCAGTTGCTGCGACATCAGGAGGTTTTAACTTTGGAGGAATGGTGAATATAAAAGTTTTTATTCACATATATATTTAATATATATTTAAAAATGTTGATATTTTTTAAATATAGTATTTTTATTAAATTCTGCATTTTTATGTTTCTTTCAAGTAAATTGATATTATTGGTTGTAATGTTGCAGTCATCTACATCTGCATCACCCGGAGGATTCAATTTTAATTCTCCTGCTTCTACTCCCACAGTAGCTTTCGATCCCAATAGTCGGCCTTCGTTCAACTTCACCAAAGGAAGTGCGCCAACAGCATTTAAGTAAATATCTTTTTCTTGCGCTTATGCATTTATACTTATAGGATACATACTAAATGTATCTTTCTTTCTTATAGCGCTCCACCCCAATCGGCAGCAGCTCCACGGAAAATCAAAAAAGCATTTCGAAGATGCGTGCGGTAGAGAGCATATGACAACACGTTCACATATACACTCAGGTGCGTCTACATCTGTATGTGTTTCTGAGTGTGTCTTTGTTAAGCCCGTTATATAAAATGATGTACAATGAAATTCTGTCATACATCAATCAATTGCAGTGTGGTGGTATATACCAAGCATCTTTGTAATATAGTAACCCAAAGCTAACCGAACATGCTTGCGTACAACCACTTGTGTTCTCTCTCTGCAGGAAATGTAAATTATAAATTATTTAAATTATACAAGTTCTAATGAAAATAATATCTTGGAGTTGGCATGAAGCCAGTAAATCGTGATGGCGTTACATTACTAAGACCTTACCAAAAATTGGACGTGATGTATATGACATAACGTACTCAAGATAGCATACATATTTGCCGAAATCGAAAAGTACCTCGATAAAAAAAATTAATAAGCACTTGATGTGTGCAATTGAAAAGAAATACTAGTGGGAAATTACCACCTATTCATAGGTAAGTATAAGTCAGTCACAGCTCGTAGCACGCTTTGTAGAAGGATCTTGATGTGAAACTTATTGAATTTAGTTTAAAAGCATTATATGCGCAGAAATCGTAATTTGTGAACTAAACATATATAAATCAAAACAGATAAATACTAACACTTAAATATCTTCAGTGTATTTAAATTTCAACAAAATTTTTCAAATAAAACAAAGTAAATTTGAGAAAAAATAACATGATTTTCATAATAATTTTAAATTAATTAAATCAATTTTACGCAATGTTATTTCATAATAGTTTCATTATATATAATTTTTTCAAATGTGATGCGGGGTCTACAATAGAAGTCGTAGCGGTCGTAGGGTCTTAAGTCGTAGAAAATTGACCAATCACAGTTGATTATTCTTCTCATATTCGACTGTGATTGGTCAATTTTCTACGACTTAAGACCCTACGACTGCTACGACTTCTATTGTAGACTCCGCATAATGTTTTCCCGAGTATTTTTTTCGTTTAACATACAAAGTATCAAATGTTCAGACCAGTCTTATTTTGCGTTAATCTATTAAAAAATATCAGTGATTTTTATATTCGTGTTATAAATTATATTTTCATATTTTTGATAAGTTTATATCAATGATTTTTTCAAAATTTTACACGGTTTTGTATAATTGAATTATTATCTAGTGTTTATAACAATGCTAACTCAAGAACACTTATAGAACATTATGACATTACGAGCATTGTGAACTGACTATATATCAATAAAGTCCCACTATACGTACATATATACATACATACATACATATATATACATAGATATTAATTATATTTCAATTAGAATTTCGTGGGCAGCCCTACACAATCTTTGTAGAACTAGTCCAGGAAGTGTAATATACACGAAAATGGCATTCGGATAGTACAAACTGACGATTACTAAACGTTTCCATTGAGTAGTCGAAATTATATATATTTTTTTTATATATTGAATGAAATAATCCTATAAGAAAATACTGAATGCCATTTTGATAGGATTATATTATAATGTTGTGTGTTTTACCATAGAGTGAGTGAGAAATAAATTTGAAAGAAGGATATGTTGAATGAAGATAAATTATTATGGGGCTTCTAAAGAGTTTCTTTTTGATATTTTATTGGATATAATTTTTATTTTTGACAAGTTTCTGAATTTTTCGAATTATATACTAATTTTTATTTGTTAATATGCTCATATAGTGGGACGTAAATAAATAAAAGATTTGATTTAATTAAATTTAGACAAGGAGATGTCTGTTCACTTATAACATCTTGATATTTTTAAGATATAATCAAAAATTTTGTAAAATCTCATTCTATTACAAATAATAAGAAATGTTTAATTTATCGTTCTTTTAAATAGAAATCTTTTGATATCTTTTATGGTGATATAAGGCATTAGAACAATTTTCGTGCAATTCTTAAAATGATATTTACACAATTTTTGAAATTACTCAAACAATTGGGATTATAAACAATTCTTTTTAGAAGTCCCTTAAAGTGGAAAGTAGTTAGATGGCATGTAATAATGATTCATTAATCATTGAAATCATGCACATCTTATTTAATAACTAATTGTGTATAATGTTGGCTTAGACTTGACAGTAGCCAAGAATAACTCGGCACATGACCTATCTTATGCCATATTAGATACCTAGGTAAAAACATTCTGTTAAACATTGTTGTTTATCCATTGTTATGTAATATTTACATGTAAACATTTAGTTCTGTACATTGTTAAGAGACAAAAATTCATATGATATAGTTTCTACATAGACTTATATTTTTTAACATTGTTAAAATATCCTTTGTAGGTATGTTTCTCATTTAAGATGTAAACAACATTGATTAAATACATAATGCCAGTGTGTGGGTAATTTCAAGAAAATTCTGTGATGCAGGTATGTGTAAAGTTAATCGAGCGCGTACGAATAAATAGTTAATAATTTAAAAATTCGCATACGTGAAATTATTTTAGTTTTTAAGCAAACTCCCATACCTTAATAATGCCTACAAAGGATGTTTTGAACGTAAGCTATTGACTCTGTTTTACATGATTGCAAAATGAAGATAATATAATTAATGGTAAAGCGAGGCTGCGCTGAGATATGTCTATGCTGCTGTCTTACACTGTGAACATTCTCTGTTGAGGCTGTGTCGTCCATTTGTCTATGAATAGACAAATTCCAAATTTATCAGTATATCGAATATTGTCTACAGAGGCAATATCTTTGTATTAAATTTCGTATATATGGCCTTACAAATACATAATGAACGTGTAATGTAGATGTATTAAACAATTATAAAGCATATTGGAATTGTTTTGTAGCACTTTATATACTCTCCATTGTAATATGTTTGCATAAACATCTGAAGAGTACTGCATTAAAAATGTTCAACACAATAGATATGTAACATCCCATATCTGATAGAATTCTCTCTTTTTGATATCTTTTTCGTATTGTTTAAAATAGAAAATATTTTAATATCGTATTTATGTATATGATATATATATATGATACTAAAATTTATATATGTATAAAATTGTAGGTAGTATTATTTACAGACTTATAAAGTACATTGGAATTTATATTCTTTTATATAACATTAATATTTCCTTTTATGTATATCAATAGTGACAGCAAAGTTTTATGATGATTATTTTTATGTAATATTCCTATGAGCCATGGGATGTTACAGTATGTCAAATATTCTGAGGCCTTATTATAATCTTAGTCCATTGGAAATTATGCATTGTACTGAATTTTTCTGAATATCTATCGAGAATGCATTAAGCAATTATCTAAAGTTCAGAAATGAGGGAGTTTGTTATGAAATAAATCCAATGACTGACTGTAATTAAATAAAATAATACATGGGAGAATGTTCACTGTATGCTTCAGGTGCTATGGGGATGGTGTTACATTCTCATGACATAATATAACATTAGTTAATACGAAAAACGCATTGGTGTTTCTCAACCGATGAATCATAGAACAATTCGAAACACTTATTAAAATATGTACAAGACAAACATATGCAAGAGATATAAGAAAAGCCATCTTTATTCGCACAAGTAAAGTCGACGAAATACGCTTATGATTAAAAACATTTCATTTTTTTTATATATTCATTGAAAATGTATTATTATCTTTAAATCTTAAAACTTGTCTAAGCCACAATTTCTTCCTTTAAGATGATACATTAAATTTATTAAATGCATTTTAATTTGATGCAGAATGTATAGGCATAAGCGATATTAATAATACTCGCAATAATAACAATAAAAATATGTGTAACATACACGGAATTTTTTCTTATGGAACAGAATTGCAAAGAGAACAGTATCGACTTTCTCTCTTTCTTCGAAGAATTACTGCTTCGATTCTTTATCTGTAAAGAATAAAGGTGACATTGCCTTAATGAATAGCACTTGTAATATTTAAGAGTTACTTGGAGCTTGTGTTGAGAAACACCGTATAGGATATATGAACATTATATATATATTATATATATATATATATATATATTACGAGTACTATTCTTAATACTAACCTCCTCTGTTTAGCCATAACGATTATATGATTACGCATTCGCGTATGTAATTATATGATTATACATGTATAATCATATAATTATAAGGTACATTATATATATATATAGGATATATAAAAAATACCAAGTAAAATACGATGTTGAATAATTTGGGTTATATAGTTTTATTTTATATTTAGGAAAAAAGGTATAGGAGGGCATTTAGTGATCATTGGGATTTGAACTAAAGAATTTTATTATAGTATGTGCACACACGTATATATAAATATATTAATTTTCCTAATACATTATATATGTAGGAAAAACCATGAAGTGTGCAGATTCATATCAAAATTCTTTGGGTCAAAAAATAATCTAACATTAGAACATAAATTCAATCGCAATTCCTGATGTTTAAAGAAAATGTTATGAATACGTTTTTTCATTTTGTTTTAATCTTGTAAGTAGTAGAATCGATCCTTGACAGTTCCTCAAAAAAATATATAAAATAAGAGATACCTACTGTGAATTATTGTATCACATTCGTGGTTTTTGACATCTTAAATTGCATACATATGTTTTCTATATATATAGCTCTACAAACTGTTATAACAATCTATCTCAAAAGATAAGATAATTTCCAACAGTATGATATGCAAATAATTCTTTTTGGACATTTTTTTAGTATATATTCGTTTAATATATTTTTTTTTATTATTTTGCAGAATATTCAAATAAATAAGTTATACAGTGAAAAATGGTTCAAAAAAATCTTATTAAAGAATTCCTTAACAATATAGTCCTTTAAATAACTATTACAATTCGCAATGTATCGACTATTTCATATACAGTACTATGTTTATTAAACGCTAGAATTATGAATACAACGTAATAAAATTTTATTTATGTATTTCATTTGACATAGTTAGGAGATTACGAATAAAGTAAAACGAGTTATCTGTAATTATAATATAAAAAATGCGTATTTTTATTTTAATCCATAGTTTCGATACAATAATGTTCTTATTAACTCAAAAAATTTACCATGCATAAAATTATATCGTTCGTAAATAATACTCACTCTGATTCTGCTATTTACACACTAGAAATTAAATGGTAGCCGTTTGTTATTCTAAAATTTCGCGCGCGTCAATGCTATACTTTTTAATTACACGATGTAAATAGGAGAGCATGTATAATAATATATCAATACTTGCTCACAGCGATGATACATTCTACAATGTCAAGAAACCCTGTAATAAAATGATTGGAGATCGAACACAAATCTGAATATAAAATATATAATTTCCTCTGTCTCATATTTAATGTAAATATGTTTTTAAATAAGTTCTCTAAAAGCGATTCTCTCCCTCTCTCAACGAAAAATTCAGGAGATTAGGTAAGTGAGACTATGGCTGATAAAGAACTGTATTAAAACTTGTGGCACGAATTTTATTCCGAGATTTACAACAAAAATGTTTCAACTAGTTAAAATGCCGCTTAATCTTGGGATATGAAACATTGACACGTATAACATAGGTAAATACAAGACGATGTGGACAATTCAGATATACAATTCAGTAGTTTGCATTGAACTGATAAAATTGATTCGTTTTTCTAATCATTTAGTGTTGTGTTTGCGACTTGGATAGGCCTGATGTGCTTCTCAGAGAGGTGGATTCACTAATAAATTCATTAATTACTTATTAAGACTCGTTGGCTGATAAATGAAACAGCCAATCCTCTCTGAGCAGCCCATGTTCATTCGCTATTATATCACTTCTATTACGATATTATAATTTAGGTACAATCTTAATTATTCAATATTAATGAGAATATTAATAATCATGTTTTATTTTGCTTGAATTAATTATAGATTGTAATCATAATTATTTTATAAAGATTCTTACACTAAGAATCGTCAGACATGAAGGAATTTTGGGATTTTAACTCCTCTAGTGTTTGAATTTGTTGACGGAGGAATAATATCCTAAAATAGCAAATAAAAATAAGTGATATAATTGTTTTATGTTTACACATTTATTAAATGTGCTATAATAACATGAAACTTACCTTTGTTCCTGTAACGTTGCCTGAATTTCTGTCAGCCTCACTATCGATCGTGCCGATTTCAATTCTGCGGACACTTTCGTACACTGCAAACTGCCCATTGCATGTGCTTCCTCACTAAGTTTCTGTGCCTGTACATAAATATTTTTTAATTTAAGAAAATCATTTAATAACAGTAAAGGGACTATTATTTAAGAAATACTGGATTCGCACCTGTTTTTCGAGAATATCAGCGGGAAAAGCACGCACATGCTGTGTCAAATCTTCCCGGTAATGATTAGCGAGAGATGGTGTTAAAGAAGGTGTTAAAGGAGGCTGCACTCTCGACAATGCCTGTAAACCTCCCGTATTACTCAAATTTCCAAGAGAACCTAATGTACTGAGACTTTGCAAGGAGCTTAGACCTTGTACTCCGGAATTCGTCCCTCCAGGACTTGTCACTATACAAATGAATTGATAATACATATAATAAAATAATGAAAAGAAATTTTTTTAAATGCAAACAAAGATGGAAGATACTTAATAATAAAAGATAATAAAATTTATTTCGAAACATTGTTTCACGAATTAAAATAATTTTTTATTAACATATTAATTTACTTTCTATATTATATTTTAGTCAGGACATAATTTTAATTTCAACATTTTATATATATATTATATATATATTCAAAAATTAAATTTTATTTTACCAAATAGCTGTTTTCAATTCAACCTAAGTATTAAAAATTAAATTTTAGTATTATGATTAAAATAGAAATTAAGTGTGCATAAATAAATCTTGTAATAAGAATCTTATAGTGATAGTTAATAGTGATAGTTAATAACTAACACAAGAATAGCGTCCTAGCCTATACTTTAGTATTTAATTTATGAACTGTAATAGAAAATGATTTATATAATGAAATAATATAGTACACATAAAGGCAAACAGTCATTCATAAAATAAGCATTATATAAAACAAAAGACTTACATTTTCGCGCATCAATACAATCCTGAGTTTCTGAATGTGTGGGAGTAGGTGGACCCTCGCTGGTAATATTGCCACTTGTATCAACTTTTAATGGAACCATCACATCACTTCCAGTATTAGTTCGATCCCCACTAACAGATTGCTATAATAAAAGACAAGTATATAAAATTATGAATACCATTTACACATGTTTTACAATGTTTCAAGATAAAAGAGGAAAGAAATAACTAGTTGATATTATCGTCTAAAAATTGCCGGATATGTTTTCGATTACGTCACAAAAAAATAGCTAAAAAGTTATCATTTTGTTAACAGGCAAGCATTAATAATTACGAAATTTTCATGATTAAAATAGTGTGGAAAAAAATAATTTAATTTAGCAAATTGATAATTAAAATATTAAATTTCGCATTACTTTAATTGAATTTAATTTTAACAGAGAGAAATAACTCATAATTTAATTATGTTTCTAAGTATTAGAAACATTAAAAAATGCTCTCTTACTTGTCGGGATAGCAAAATAGCTGTTTGAATTGTCTGTAATGCCTTCTGTGGTGTGATGTCAGGTTGTTCTTTGTTGCCCGTAATTTGTGACAATAGTCTTGGGAGATTTGCTAGTGACACCGGTGGTCCCGGAGCGTTACTACTTCCCTGTTGTTGCGTTGGTGAACTAAGTTTTCCAGTTGCCTGTGGTGTCGTTGACGATGGATGTGATGTTAATCGAGGTAACGCTAACAAGAATACAACAAAAATATCAATATTAAAAATCCGTAAAGATTGAGGCATATAAAAATGTAATAAATTAATATTAAGAGGAAATTAAAATTAAATCTTACAAATTTAATTTAAAAAAGTTCATAAAAACAATGATCATTGTAATTTCTCAAAAATAAATGTTTCATGCAGGATGAAATTATTATTATTCAGTTGTCACAAATTCCTCATCCTAAAATTCCATAACTTTTCCTTGATTTCCAGACAAAATTGAATGATTTTCCCTGATGCTTCCAATATTTTGAAATTTTTTGGATTTTCGTCTTGATTTAGAAAAATCAAGTCAAATATTTTGTTGAGAATGCAATTTAACATAATAATGTAAATTACTATTAATGTTACTGACACAGCTTGCATTTTATAGTTAGGCTAAGTTCCAAAACTGCGTAGATGTGATGTACGCATATTGAACTTCTTTAAAGCCAAGAATTTTTATTTTCCAGAAAATTTTGCAAAATTCCTTGACTTTTCCCTGATTTCCCTGTTCGTTTTTCATTTCCCTGATTTTCAGTTTTGTGATATTTCTCTGATATTTCCCTGTTATTAAATATCATTTTAAATTGTAATATTTCTACAATACTTTAAACATTTTTTTACTTAATAGAGATATATTTTCAAAAATATTATTATCATGGTCTCTACTTTTTGTGCTGCAACTTGCACATAATATAAAAGAAAAACCTACCAGCGGCCAGGAGAACAGGGCCTTGTGGCAGTGGATCATGAGCGCAGGATGACGTCAAAGGTTCCGAAGTGGGTGTAGAATCACCTGGCGAGATATCCATATCTTGAGTTTGGCGTTCTACACTAACTTCTTCTCTACATTCTCTAGATTCTCTTTCTCTTTCCCGTTCTCGTTCTCGTTCACGTTCACGTTCTCGCTCTCGTTCTCGTTCGCGTTCTCTTTCCCGTTCTTTTTCTCGCTCCCTCTCCCTTGCGGAAACATCATCTCTGCTACTGCTACCACCGCTCGCGCTACATAAACTCCAGTATTCTCGTTTGTCAGACTGTCGCGACGATTTACCATCTCGCATACTGCTACTGCTATTTGATCGCGAGTTGGAATGTTTATCATGACCTGCCCAGAAAAATTTCAGTTTTGGTAAAGTCTTATATATATTTCATATATAAAAAAGCAGTTGTTTTATTAGAAATTATATATGCAAATGTAATTGTCCCTTAATCTTTTGAAATATGTTACACAAATGCAATATACATTTTTTATTTTAATTATAATAAACAATATAATATAAGATAAACTAAAGGATATATCAAGTTTTAAAATAGGAAAAATTAAATAAATACATATTTTATTTATCAGTTTTCATAGAGATTTTTCTATAACGTAAATATCTGTTAAGTACAAATATCAAAACTATAAATGTTAAATGCCAATAAAAAAAACCTAATTTATTATATTTTATTTTAACAAAAACTTACTTTATTTTATTATTCTTTTTCATTCATTATATTTAACACTTTACATATTGTATGTAACGATTATGAAAGAATATCGTTTGGCTATATGAGCGATGGACTCATAACCAATAGGTCGTAAGTTCAAATCCTGCATCCCTCTGTGTATACGGAAAATCCGTATATCCTTCTATGTATACGGAAAATTTTCGTACTGACTTAGCGGGAGTCATAGAGGAGTTCTTTATATATATATAAATCTAGGTAACTTTTTAACTTCAGACATATAGTTACTACTACTACTACTACTACTACTACTACTACTAACAATTATGAAAATTTAGACGTACTTGACCTAGAAGAATAGTCACTAGATTGACGTTGACGATTATCTGTCCGACTGATCCATTCCCGTGGTTTTTCCCATTGAGAAACTTCCGTCTTGCAGTTGTAATAATACTTCTTTCCTGATGAACTCATGTGTTCTGACCAATCGCCAAATCTGGCTGTTCGTTCCGTTGCACCTCCTCGCTCATCACCACGTTTATCCTAAACAGACTGTTCTAAAATTTCCGAAAACAATTGAATAGATGGGGAATATTTGCATCATTCCAAAACGTGTTCGAAAAGTTGACGTTATATTCATCCATATTCTTGAGGCTATTAAGATATTGGTTACGTACACATAAAGTTATTTAAAATTATGATAGCAAACAAAAATGTACAGAAATTTTCAGAATATTTTTTTTAATCAATTGAAATAAATGTGTAATTAAATTTTGCCACTGGAATGAATGTATAACAGTTAAATGGTATAATTTTATTTTATTTAGAATTTTGAATTTATAACTGATGCTAATATAAAATAAATAAACATAATTATACTACACTGACCTGACAGGAATTGTGTGATGGTTTTCTCTGGGATGAAGATTCCCTTGATGAATTTGATGATAATTTTAAGGGATGTAAGATCTATAAAGACATGAACACAGACGTTATTATTATTATAGTACACATGCACCTAAAAAGATATATTTAACTAAAAAAGGCACGCAATATATATTAAATGCCCTTTTTAAGCAAAATTTTAAATAAATTCATCGGACTGTGACCATATGCAAGCTATCTAACAGTCCGTTTGCGCATGGAACGTTTTTAATAAAAACTTATTATGACTGCACATGCTTAAAAGAAATAGGTGTCTATTTCATATATGTATATATTTGTAATTTAGGTATATATATTTAAAATTTTTCCAAAATTATAAACTTGCGAATTCTCTTCTTTGCAAGAGCTTTCTTTGTCTAGTTTAATATTTTTTATAATAGAAACGTTAAAAACAATAAAAAAATTTATGATTTCATGCACATAGAGCACAGCATATAGAATGAGTAGAAATAAATTTATGTTCAATAAGTAAAGATTCATTATATGTATGGCACAATAAATGTTTCGAAGCAACTCTGAAAGAGATCAGAATACTTATAACTGACATCCTTGAATTATATCCTTTTTATTATATGTAACAATAATAATCATTAAATTAGACGTTAAGGTTGAAGATATTCACCTCCCCACTACTCCTATCGTGGTTGGTCCTGTGTTCTGAATCCCTGCTCTCACGGCTTCTCTTGTCTTTTAGGGATCGTGCACAATCTACACATATGCAAGCAAGCATGTTACAGCTGAAAATATTAAGAGACAATTCTGTTTTTATACTGAAGAAAGGAGAGGGAGATAAGATTCTAGATAAAAAAAGGAAAATTATATTACTTATATTACTTCATAGATATATTACCACCTATATGTTATAAAAAAAAATACGTAGCAATTGATATTTATAAAGATTGTGTTCAATAATATTCACAAATTTATGCTTTCCCTATTGGGTAACTGTTAAAATATAAAAGCTCGCTCTATGCAGAATGTGGAGGACATACGAAAATAACAGTTTTGCTGAAGAATTAAAAAATTTATAACTTGATACAAATCTGAAAATAACTTTGTTTGCACCATCAAAATAATTATGTAAAATGTTTATGACAATACTGCAAAAAGTTTTATTATTCTAGCTAGTTTAAACGCCTTACATAATTATTTTCATATTTATCAAGTTAAAATTTCATTATTTCAGCAAAACCGTTCTTTTCGTGGAGCAAAATAAAAATTATTTACCGGAATACTTGTCCCTAGAGGAGGATAATTTATAGTCTCTATTTTCTCTCTCCTTCTTGTAAAGAGGCTTGGATGTGTAATTCCGAGGGCTGTCCCGGTCCGTCCCCATGCCCATTCCCAAGCTGCCGGCTGGACTGTAAGAATTACCATTTGGAGAGTCGCGCATACGTCCTTCGTAGCGACTGTCCGATGACGTGGTCGAAGAGGAATAGCCACCCTTAGAACTGCTGTACTTTGCGTTCTACAATCAGATCATTAACAATGTGTTTGGGATATGACCACACAAGACATTATATAAATGAATCGGATACATCAAGATTGCTTACTTTTTTCATTCTGAATATATAAGATCGTTATTAAAAATGCTATTAATTATTATAAGCTTGATAATCCACTTGAGAATAACAGACTGTTTTGATCTAGTGGCCGTCTGCAAGAATGTACGTGTGAGATCTATATATTGACTCTAATGATATTAAAAAGAATTCAAAGGAACAAATATCAAATATTGAATAGCGTTATAGTAAAAATGATTATATAATTCTGAAAAATCTCTGGTTTTTTTATGGAATCAATGGGATCAAATTGAAATCAATTCCATAAAATCACCAAATTTTTTTAGAAATATCAATTGCGCTTACCATCTCTAACTATCTTTTGTATCAATTATGCACACATTCTACTTTTAATTTAAGGGCAAATTCTTATCATTCAACTAAACATTTTTTCATTCCAGTAAAGACTATATGAATATTTCCCAATATTATACTACAAAGACATGTTATGTTGTATCCTAAATTTTTCAAGTACAAAGAGAAATCTACCAAGTTACTGTGACTTGAGGATTATCACATTTACAGTTATTTCCGACAAAATACAAAAGAAAGTGACGCAAAAACCGTCGAAACGTGAGAGGGACCGAAATAAGATTCTTACCGAGATAGGATCTCAAATATTTTTAGAGGATTACCTGCTAGAATAAATTATTGATTTTTTGAAAAGTGAGGTTATGTTTACAAGACCAGCAGGAAATTATTTCGTATTGGACATAAAAATCGGGCGATATTGCGATTAATTATCATTCTCCCCATCTCGTGTGGACCGATTAAATATCGAGAACATAAACATTCGAATGTTAATACTCCCCAACACAAATGATAGCTTCAAGAGGACAAACACCACAGACAATCAATGAGAAGCATGGGACAAACTCTTACAACTAATTACAGCTACATTATAAATTTATCTATAAAGTACCTCAATTATTCGCATCGCGATAATACGTTTAACGTACGAAATATTGTCAATGACCAAAATGTCACTTGTCAAAAGTGATTCTTTTCGTCTTGTCGAGCTCGTCAAATACGTACATTCGGGGAATCTTACGCGTAATATAGCAAATTGCCGACGATTAAGCCAATCGCGCGACGATTCGGCGACGACGTTGGCGCGCCTCGACCTGGTGAACGATCGAATCTATCTTGTCCGTATGCGACTGAGGAAAAAATCGGGGCGAGGAACGTGGTAATAACGACGACAAAGACGAGCCCGACGCGATGGGAGTAGACGGGAGTGTGCACAATGGAGCAGACGATCTCACGGAGATGTAACGACGCGTGAAGAACGAAGCGCGCTGACGCGATCATCCGGAATCGTCTTGCCGCGGGATCGTCGTCGAACGTGCATTATCGATTCCCGGCCGCGCGACCGCGAGTCCTGAGCTCTGGACGGAAAGAACGACGGCGAACGGGGCCCCTCGTCGTGCCCCGCCAGCCGAGAGATCGAATACGAACTTTGGAACTCCTCTGCGCGGAAGAGTGCTGTCACCGCGGTTGGGTCCCGTGTCCTCCGCGCAAGAACCGGAGCGATCTCATCTTTCTCCGTCTCTCTCTCTCTCTCTCTCTCTTTTTCTCTCTCTCTCTTTCTCTCTTCCTCTCCTCCTTCTCCTCCTCCTCCTCCTCCCCGTCTTCAGACGTGTCGCGCGGGCAACGACGCGGAACCGCGGGCGAAAATAATGCGTGCTGCTCGACGACGATGAAAACTCCGATGATGAGCGTACCAGACGACGTGAGAGAGGATGTCCGTCCAAGAAATGATCACACCTCCTCCCTTACCCCCTCCCCGCCCTTAATGGTATCGTAGATCCACCAATCGCTTCGGTGGTGACAGATATTTACCTGATAGGGATGGGCCTGGTGCTTTTCGAAGTACCTGGAATCATAAGACAACGGGCCGTGAGCGAGGGAGGTTGTGGCGCGGTGTCCGCCGCCGTCGCGGTCATTTCCACGGGGAACGGCACCCGAGCGGATCCCCATCGTGGAAACTGGTCGTGCTCGCGAAACGTCGTGCGGCGGTTTTGTGGCAGTGAGTGCTGCGATGCGTGTGTACGGTCGAGCGGGTCGTACGGACGAATGGACGGATGTCGGGTAAACGAGAGGTGAGGTGAGCTAGTGCGGAGAGAGCGAGAGAGAGAGAGAGAGAGAGTAGCGAGGGAGAGATAGATAGATAGATAGATAGAAAGAGAGAGAGAGAGAGAGAGAGATTAGCCGTGTGTCAGTATCGGGTATTTGACGGTAGAGCCCTACCCATCGCTGATCCTTTGAGGTTTCCTCGCATGCATTACCATCAATGCCAGTGTCTGTGGGAAATTCGCGGCCTCGGATGTTCCCTTTTCGGTCGGTCAGTGTCATAAAAACAACATTAACGTTTATTTAGCAGTTAACTTTCTTTCTACCCGGACGCCATGTCACATACGTGCTCGGCCGCTGCCGGGCGACTTGGACGAAACGCTCGAGCGACGGCGTGCGCGCACCCCGCTGGTGGGGGAGCTCCGCTCACGTCCAGGGACGTGGGGCACGAAGGTGCGCGGCGGATATTGTTTAGTTCCATAAATGTATACATATATATGTGTGTGTGTATATATATGTATATACGTGTGCGGCACCACAAACCAATCGTTTCCAGCGAACGCCGAGAGTTTACACAAGCGTACGATACGATACGCCCAACGCGACTATAGCGTGACGGCATATAAAACCATTCGCGCCAATCGTGAACTTCCGGGAATCCATAATCCCGCAGGAAACGCGTCCCCGAGATTCGCGATTGTTAACGCGAATACGAGCCGCGAGTACAATCATATCGGTCCGCTAAATTTCCCCGCGGATATATTCCGAAAAGATTGGCATCTGTCGGAAAGAATGGAATTTCAGAAGGATCTTCTGTAATATCCGCACGCACCTCCGGGAATATCTAACGTTCGCCAGTTTACGTACATACGATACGCGGCGTGGCACGTCGTCGCGAAATATCGAGATTATCGAGCACGCACCTGACGCGACGACGGTGACGGACGGTTCCGCGCACTGCGCAGAGCGGGCGTGCGCAACCAGCGCAACCCTGCGCGCACGGCGACGTTGCAGCAGCCGCGACGCGAGGAGCGTCGACTCTTCTACCGTCGTCGAGTGCCGATTGCTGACGTTTGCGCCGTCGAGCGATTGGCAACTTGAGCAAACTTGTAGCGTTTTCGGCCTGAGCGACTTTGCAGGGTTTGCGCCGTTTGCGGTTTGCACCGACCTGGGTTAAATTAATGACGTTGTACGCTCCACTATTGGTGGAGCACGAACAGTCATTAAGTCAGCTTAGGTCGGTGCGTATTAGTTGCGTTTGCTTTAGATGCTTTCATCGCTTTTATGCTTGTACGCTTGTTTCACGTCTATAGCGAATTCAGTTGAACGCACTGGTGCCATTATACTCAAAGCCATTGTACACTGATTTAATTTGTGTAAAAGTAAAACATAAATATTTCGAATTATAAAATACAGAGCTTTACTTAACGGCACAATGAAATATATTAAGCCTTTTATGAGCCTCGTGTGTCTAATTGGTTTTTATATTAAACACATATTTTTCAATTTGTGTTCGATAGCTTTAATGTGCACCAGGGCGCACTGAGTGCATTCGATCGAATTCATTGTAATGAACGATAAAGAGGCGCTCGGATAAAATGTTTGCACGATGCCAGTACATTACGATATCCAGCTAACTCCTCATCTGACGTAACTCCTATCTGACAGCACATCGTGATCTGTACGCTGTGCGAATATATTGTGCTGATAAAATGCCAGTAAAGTAATCAAACCTAAAATTTCGACTACACGTCGTGACTACAATCGTGACAGCACTATGCAAACATTATCCGCTTTATCATACAAAATGACATAATAACTGCAGCATATCGACCGTGCTATACATTGGCACAATGTGCTGGCATGCGAGGTTATTTAGGGATGCTTAAAGCGCGTAAAAACGTTGAATCCGAACGCAGGTGGCAGGTCACAGCCTTGGCAAGTTACGAGTGTCGGGCGATAGGCGGCGTGTTGTCCGGTTGTCGCAAGCGGCCGAGCTGGCACAACGAACGAACGAAACGAGTGCTGGTCTCTGAAATATCACTGGCTAAGTGAACCCCCGTGACACGGGCCCGTGTTGGGAACCAAGGCCAATACAAAGGAAGAGGAGCGAGCAACGAACGAGTGAGCGCGCGAGCGAGCGAAGTGTGTCGTTGTCGTCGACAGGCGATTAACGAGCGGAGCACGAACGCGTTCCGACTCCTGCCTTGCGCGTTTAGTGGTCGTAAATCTCGGAAGATGCCGCAGTCTCACGGACGGCTGATTTAGCTGCGGACGGAGGAACGGTTGCGCCAGACGTGATTCGGATACGACTTGGAAGAAACACTCGGCCAGGAAGAGAACTCGCTCAACCGGGAAGAGAAGCCTCCACGTTGACAGGCCGCTACACGCCAAGAGGGCACGGCGGGTTATCGTCGCGTCGGAAATCTGCGACGGAAATCTGTCAGACGCTGTAAGATGAAGAGTTCTTCTTTTCGGACGATTTCCTCGATCATTTTCCTCGCCACGAAAGAACGCGAAACCACTGCATGATAATTTTACATGAAACGTATCGTGTGCCGCAATGATATTAAAGTCTGCACCTGTCACGATATCCGAAATCGCAAAGTTGTTGACGGTTTCTAACAACACGTTTAGATATATCTATTTCTATCGTGCTACTCTTTTAGTTTTAGTAATTTAACTTTTTTTATTAATTATTAAATGTATAACATAAATGTTGACACAATTGCAGCTTTGCTGTTCTAAACATTTGGCTTATATATTACTTTTTATTAATATGATATAACTATTATAAATATAACATACATGGAAAACAATTTTAATACCTGATTAATAATAATAATTATTTAAAGTGGTAACACTCGAGTGAACTTAAATTTTGATATTTAATACAGTACATTTTTATGCATATAATAAAAAATTTTCTTTTTATAAATTTGTAGAAACAAATAATAGTCAATAATTATGCCTTTCTACACTTGACTTGATTGGTACAAGATGTTAAATAAAGCATTATAAATTTCATTAACATTAAAATGCAAATTTAAAACATTAAATATTGATTATTGTGTTGCGTGCATGCTGTAAGTCTTTTTATAATTGCAGAGAATTTATGCTGTAAACCTACAAGAGCTACAGAGGAAGATATCGTTATGGATATCAATTATAAATGTGAAAGTAATAAAAATACAAAAAAACGTTTAAAAAGTCGGGAAAAAAGTCTGGAAGATGTCATATTGAAAGATAATAACAAAATTGAACAAGTACTTCCATGGTTACCAAAATTCAATAAAATCATACATTCATGTGCAGGAAGTAGAAATTATGAATGTCTGGAACGATTGCTTTTCTTCTACACCCAGTAAGATTATCATTTACATCATTATGAAGATCCAATTCAACGTTGCTAAATTTTTTATAAGCAGAAATTTCACACATGTATAAACAGATTAGGGATTGAGTAAGGTATACATAAAAGATATGTAATTTTGCTGTATTTCAGGAATATTCTCTCTAGCGTAGCAGAGAACACTGTCGAATTTAATGATAAAATTGATTTGATAAAAAACCATATTAATAAAATGTTAATATTCTTTCATATGTATTGGCTTGATATAAAACAACAGGTATTATTAATCCTAATTATTTATTTTTATTTTACAGAATTGTAAATATAAAATAATCGTTAATCTTTTATCTTTTCTTTCTCAGAATGTAGATTATAGTCAATATTTAAATAAAATATCAGCTTTGTTAAATGTGTATATAGATATGGAGTTAAAAACTTCTAGTCACGTCGGTGAAGATTCTAAAGATTCTTCTAAAGTTGCTGCAAAGATTCTTGCAACATTGTACATATACCTAAGTAAGTGTTATCAAAAATTGATTTTGGAAAAATTGATTTGATCTGACTGCCGATAGATAAGAGAGAAAAAAAGAGAGTTCTCTAATATTGAATTCTTTACAGATAACTCGGAAGAACATATTTTCAGGATATTACTTAGAAATAAATACACGACAAAAGTATGCAATCATATATTTATGTACGTAAATATTTTTTTTAATCTATTACATTATAAATATCTCATAGACAATATTGAGATAATACAGATTATATTTTCTCTACATAGGAGGAGCTTTACTAATCTCAAAACAAAGACTACATCTATAACCGATGTAGCTTATATCAGATATTTGCTCGCCTTTAAAATGTGGAGAAAAATGGAAGAAACAAAGAAGTTAAAGAAAAAAATTGACGAGTTAGCCCTAATGTTGCTAGGACCGCGTATGCCAAAATTGCAAGACGAATTATTGAAATTTGTGCCTAGACCACCTATTCAAGAAAAAAATGAAACACTATGGTTAATAGAATCAAATCAGTTTGATATAAAGGAAGTTCATAAACAATTCCTACTATTTGAAGACAAAATGGATAACTCTACAGGTTTAAAATGTACCAAAACAATTCATGCCGATCAAACTTGTTCGAAGTTTCAGGTAAGATCTTTTGATAGTGTTTCGTTTCAAATTATATATGAAAATCTTTACATTTATTAAGTATAATGCATTTAACGTTTGGAATACTGCTTTTTCAGAAGCATCAGATAAATTCGTTATTTCGTCCAAATAATTCTAATGGAGGTACATCTGAACAGAAAATAAATAATTCACACAAAATCATAATAATTGATTTAACTGGAGATGATAAAGTAAAAAGAAAAAGGACTAATCTAAATTCGGAATCTTCAAAAGTTAAAAAAGATAGGAAAAACAAAAAGCATATCAATTCTTCGAAATATTCAAACAAGCTTACAAAATCCGATGTTAAAAGATATTCTAATGAAGATAACAAAAACTTAAAAGAAAAAAATTGTTTAGAGTCTAAACCTGTTGATATCAAAAGCAGTAATAGTACAAAAAATTGTACTTCAGTTAGCAATGATACCTGTATGGAGTTTATGAAAGAGGATGAGAAACAACACCGTTATAACTCGCATTATTTGAAATCACCGATGTTAGACGATCAGAATATTAACGAGTTGAAGGCTAATGTGTCGAAAAAAAGTAAATTAAAGAATTGTGTATCATCTAATATGACAATAGAAGATATAACTGGTTCTTGTGACAATTCGATAACACAAAATAAGGATGCATTAACATCTCAGGAAGAAAGTGCCATGGAGACAATACCTTTAAAAACGTGCCAAAACAATGTTTCAGATCAGCAGAATTATCAATTTGATTTTAAGCAAGAATTACCAACAAACACGGATTGTGCGATACAAAAATCGTGCCCATGTTGCAATACAAGGCATGTTGATCGCTTTATAATGACTAGTTTGCAGTTTATAACTGATCGTAGCTCACTAATTACGGAAATGATAAAACAGAATGTGTGTCAAGTTAAATGTCCAGAGTATTGTTGTACAAACGTTATCGTGGCAAAAGCACAAGGGAATCTGCATAACACATTTAATGATAATGAAAACGATGTCAAATTGACTTGCGACACAAAAAATGATTGTAATAAATATGTTTATCTTTTAAATCCTACTGATAAATGTGTCACGACTGTACACGCTGAAAAGAGAGTGCAATGTTTAGATAAATCCGATGACAAATGCATTGTTTCAACTACATTTACTGAAGATCAAATTGCAGACCCACCAGCGTATAACCAACATGTTAATTTTGGTAATTTTATAAAAATAAATAATTACGATAGTAAATATTCTGAAACTATGATAAAGGAACAACAAAAAGAAAGTGCTTGCGATTCTTTTATATTAAACGATCGATTACATTTCTCTAATGTAGAAGTGGATTGCAATATGAAAAAATTTTTCCCCAAAAAAGAAGAAACTGACGAGATGACAAACAATTGTATAGACTTGGAACACAATTTCGTAAATGATATCCAAAATGAAACTCTTTTGGAAGATGTCTTCTGGCAACCTTCTGAACAGCCCGAAATTAATTTAACCGGTGTACTAAATAATTCTAAGGACACATGTATTGTCTCAACTACATTTATCGAAGACGAAATTATGGAGTCTTCAATGGACAGCCAGCATGTCAATTCTGATAATAGAAAAAAATGCATTTATGAAGATACGATGAAGAAACGAGACAAAAGCGATTGCGATATTTTGATGTCCTCTGAACATACATTTGATACCGACTTTTTCGAAGTAGATTCAAAAGAAATAATTAGTGAAGTAATGAAAAATAATTGTATAAATGACTTTGAAGATATCAGTGTCTCACATTTTCAAACTTTGGAAGATTTATTATCGAATGACACTACTAATTTCCTACCTCAGGAATATCTGTCTTAATTAAAAAATATATATACATACAGATACAGCACTTAACAAAAAAAAAAACATTCTATGCAATAATCAAAATGATGCTTTGATAGTAATATGAACCTGATAACTTCTCATTTAAATGCTAATAATATCTTTCTGCAATTGCCAGCAAAGTTCGATAAACCTATGTCAGTAAATCGTAATTTCATTACAATGCTAAATATTATTGTTAACTAATTCAAACATCACTCTTTTAGGTTTCAAAGTCATGGAATTTCGATACTCTTCCTAATAAGTTAAATAACGATGTCTTAACTAAATATTTTTATGTTTGCAAGAAAGAAGAAGTTGAAAGCTTTCATATTCTGAAAGATAGGCTAAATCAATTTTTAAATGAATTTTATATATCCAAAAATATTTCAAATGCTGTCAAATTGTTCAATATTAAAAGAAAAGATTCTGCCTCAACATCATATTGTGTAAGGTACATATTAGCGCCAAGACACTACCGTGTCTCCAGATTTTCATCCTTAAATTCTGATTGACTTTTAATTAAAATTCGTAATATAGATCGTACGTTAGTGAATGCCACTAAGTCGCAAGCTATCAAATATAACAGATTGTTATTTACTGAAGAAACCGTGAAGAAAAAAAATACAATACAATAACGATGTTCACAAAAAAGTCATATTGAAAAATTTTCAATCTCAAGAGAGATGAGCTACAGCAAGTTTTTAAATAATTTTATTTACTTCTGCTTCAATATATCCATTAAGATATGCCGTCAACAAATTGCTTACTATCGTAAAAGGAATAATCTGCTTGAACATCCTATGCAACTGTATAAGATAAAATTTTATTTTGAATGAATCTTAATAGTAATTTAAGACTACATCACAATAATTGTAACCGAGACCATAAACCATAAGATAACAAATATCATTAAGAAGTAGACTGTCAGATGCATCAAATCACCACCCACTGAAAAAACATCTAAGAAGAAAAAAGAAAAAACATCTAAGAAGAAAAAAGGAAGAATCGTATCTATAGTTTTGTTCCTTCTAAATGCTAAATAAACTTGTTTACTCTGATTCAATACGATGTTCGAGAAGGAAGTTCAATCTTCTACAATAAAAAAAGGTAACTTAATATTTATTATAAATCAATGTTTTGAAATCTCATTATCATTTGGGGTTATTGTATTATTTTTTAGAATTATTAAATCTGTAAAACATTATGCACCTACACAGAACATATACACCTACACAGAAGAACATCAAGATACATGATACATCTCCGAAGATTATTGTCTTCTTATATCACAAAATAATTTATAAAAATTGTTGGTGTTTACTATAGAATATTTGTAGAATTATCATTTTTTAAAATTTCACAAAATATTAATAAGTGATAAATTAAAATTTATCAAAATTTGAATATAAGGCTAACATAATTATTAATTATATATATATATAAAACATAGATGTGTGTAAAATATTTAGAACATTGTTCCCTTAATTTAATATTTGCCATGAAACAAATTAAATTTTTTATTTATACATAAAAAGAATAAGAAAATTAAATATTAAGAATTGTCTTTTATATAGGAAGTAATATTAAATTGTATAAAATTACTTAAAATGTGTCACTTGTATATTATTTAAAATGTAACTTGTATATAACGTTAACATTATTTTCCATGAAATTATTGATATAAGTAATGTATTTTTCAATCATCTATTTGAAGATATTATAATCAAAACTTGTGTAAGATAGCGCCTTATTGGCTTAATAATTATTCATTAGTGTACTATATTATTATTGAATCATATAATATTTATATTTACTGACATTTTATTTTCAGAACTTATATCTATGTGTAGAAGAACATGAAAAAATGCAGTGGGTGAGTATAATGTGTATTTATTATATAGTCTCTCATTTCAAAACTTGGCTATCTCCGTTTGAATCTTATAATTAAAAAAAATCTTAAAAAATAGACAAAAAACTGCAGTTATCAGTTTCTATTGTAATTATGAAAATTTACGTGTAGATTACGAGAACATTTTTAGCAATTCAGTGTATATACAATAACATACAATAAGGGAAATTTACGAAAGCATTTGTAAGACATACATTTTAAACTGTAATAATGATTTCTTAATTCTCTGTAAATATAATTGGTAGTTGATATTTTAATCTTCACATCGAATTGCTATTCATTATTATTTATTTTTATAAATATCAAATTTTTCTGGGTAACCTTTTATTAGAGATATCGAGTTTTGCAATGAGATCTCTAATATGTTCCAGCCTTTTGTGATTTGATTTTTTTAGAATATAAATATTCCAAATTCAAATAATTTTCATGTATAATAGTTACAAAGTTAAAAAAGCTATTTAAAAAAATTATACATGTTTTATTTAAATAGCAATTAAAGGATATATATTATAGATCTATTTACGATGTCATTTTTAGATCTTGTTTGATTAGAACATTTGACATAAATTGTTAATATATAGCGTTTTCTCTTAGCTGCACTATCGCCCAGCTAGTGCAACTCGGACAGTACCGTGTTTCAATAGCTGGTGGTAAGTGAACTCATTCGGTGTAGTGCAAATTTTATGCACGAAGTGGGATTTTGCTACATCGTCTCACAGGGACGGTGTAGAGCCAGTATGACATTTAAAATTTGAAAATAAAACTCAAGCGGAAACAGGATTTCAGCTAATTCAATAATGCAGAAGTAGTTCACATCATGATATACACCACTTCAGTGCAGTGTAACGTTTACACGCAACTGATGCGATGCGAGACTACACTCAGTGTATTCCAAGGGAAAACGCTAATAGTACGATTGGATCACAAAGGCCTAAATATAATAAAGAAATTATGTTTATTACATATGTGCATTTGTTTATTACAGCGTGATTGTCGTTTATGCTCCTGAAGAAGTCGCCAATTTTTAACTACTTACGCTAAGTCGCCAATTTTTAACTACTTGCGCTAAGTCGTAATTCGATGATTGAAATAAAAATTGAACATATGATACCGAAAATTATTACATTAAAAGCTTCCAAGATGTTAAAACACAACGCGATGTAGAGTTGCCACCTTTTTGGGTTTGATCCAAAAACTCCGGATTTTGAAGATTTATGTCCGAGTTTGGGTTTCGTTACTTCTCCAGGTTGCATGAAATGTAAAACATCTTATGTAGTTTTTAACAAAAAAAAAATTCTGAATGGCATTGGGAAAAAACTGAGAAGGGCGTTTCGAGTAAGATGTATACATTATGATGTTATATTTGTCGATGAACTGTTAAGAATTTTATGAATTTATCAAGAAATTTGAAAATATGGAGCTTGTTAAAACTGCAAATATTTATGGAAATGAAGCCAATAAAAATAATTTATATACTTACTATGTAATCGTGCGCATCCCGGAAAAAAATGTTTCATATAAAATTATATATAATTATATAAAAAATTGGCATATTTTATATACAATTATATATAATTATATGTATATAATGTCCATATATATAACCTTTTTTTCCTGGGATTATATAATTTATATAATTTAAATATTTTCTGTTTCGTGATTGTCAAAATTTTGTTTTTTATTATTCGCTTTTTTTATCTTATGATGATAATATTTTTGGATTTTTCTTGTTTTGATAATTTTCATAAACCACTTGATTTCAAAAACACTAACTTTTTTTTCTTTTTTTTTTTGATACAGAGTTAGAACAATCGTCTAGGTGGCAACGCTAACGCGATATAATTCGTACAGTTATTCAGACATAATCTATAAGATTAAAAGTTTATAAAAGAGAGAGAGAAATAATATTTTTTAAGTTATGCTTCATTTATGATTGTATCATATGATCAAGAAGCATTTCTGATAGATTTTTTTTTAATATGTATTTTATGTATATAGATATATACGTATATATATTACGCACGTATATATTATTTTATAGTTGCATTTAAATATTAAGTAAATATATGAATAATGCGATATATGTGTTGAAAAGAAAGAGGAACTATTTTCAGTAGTAATCTCATTTATTCTGGTAAAAGTTAAATTTCTGAGGTATATTTCCAAAGTTATTGCAGAAGTAGATTAATAGGGATGAACTAGTAAAGAATTTTATTACACGGATTATTATATTTAAAAAAAATACGATATTTTATCTTAAATTTTAAATAAGGTGGAAATAATTAATGATTATATTAATTAGTAGAATTATTACTCTGAATATACCAGTATTGAATATCCGGATAATTTACAATTTGAAAAAGCCACATACACAAACAGAATTAATAATAATATTTTCATATACTATATATTAATTAGTGTATACTGCTTTTCCTATGTTTTTTTAGCTTAATTTAATCATTAGCGAAATAATATAGAACAGTATATGAAATTGAGTCGGTAAATATTTTATTGTGCGCGTTTATTGCTACTTGGCAATAAAAGGATATTTACTTTCTTATGTAATTTATTTTTACTGCACTTTTCTCTGATGCGTAAAAATCTGGACCAAATCATAATTTGTATGAAGTCTTTTGATTTAGTTGTCAAAAAGTTATTTTAATTAAATAACTTAAAATTTTATTAAAAAAACATAGTTTTATCAATATTATTTTGTGTATAATTATTAAATGAATTAATAATTTATTGTGTCTAGTCGATGAGGTCTAGTTCTTGACGAATTCTTCATATAAAGAGGAATCCTATGATATTTAGTATTAAAATGTTTAATTTGTTATATATTTCTTTGTCGATATCTAATGTAGAGACTGATTTTATGGTACCTCATATTTAGTACAAGTAGATAAAAATCAAGTTGATAAAGGGAGACGTATTACTGATATTAGTATTGAAAAAAGTGTTCTAAGGTTTGACGATGCTGTCATAGATTATGATGTCAGAAAAACATTTATTCAAGTTTGCGAGAATGATCTTTCGCGAATAGATTCAGAAAATTAAGTTTTTAAAATGTGATATAAATACTGCTTTGAGTTCACAACAAACTATGTGGAAACACAGTTCCGAAACTTGTTTTGGCTTATTAACAATTAGGTAGATAAAGTTATTGTGAATCATAGAAAATCATAGAAGTATGTTGCCTCGCATCTGACATTATAATATAAGCTTAGTAACGAATCTTTAAGAAATACATTCCTGTTTTTTTTTCATATATTTTGTAAATTTTACAAAGTAAAATTACAAGGTCATTGCTTGCCATATTATTGCTGTGAAAATAATCTACTTTTTATTAAATGTCCTTTAATTTTCAAATGCATTGAGGACAAGTATTCTTTAAAGACTTTATATTCTTTGAAATATATATATTTCATATTCTTTTAGCAAGATAGAAATGACAAAAAGTAATTGTGTATAAATGTTTGCAAAATAGATGACAGCTATTTTAAATTGCATGTGTATAAGTTGCAGAAGAAAATATTTTATATTTCTAAAGTTGCATATTATAAGAGCATATACACAGAATGACATAAATTCGAGCAAATGTTCCACACCCCATGTAAATAGTAATGTATAAAAAGAGTGTGTGGAAATTTATTCTGTTGCGCTTATACCTCGAATATTTTATATTTATTGTAGACAACCTCACTTCACTGAATAGATCACACTATATTCTAAAAAAAACATATACATAATTTAATTCAAAAGATTGCATAATTTATAGTTTACAGCCAGTAGATAGTAAATAAATGAAATATATTCTCTAGAATAAAGTTTATCCGAGAGGAGGAGGAGGATATTCTTACTAGTATTATCCTAAATGAATACAGTGCCCTGATGAACGTATATTTAAAAAAATTACATTCGCGCGCGCGAATATATATAATTCAATATGATACATTTCAGTATATTACTAAATAATCGTTAACACATGAATAACAAATATCAGCTCTCTTAAACAAGCAATAACATTGCTTCATCATGGAATTAATGACATTATCGCATTTGGTGAAGATTTATTTTCTGGGAATAGTGCAATGGAAGCTTTAAAACTGTTTCCTTTATTGCATTATATTGTACACATTTTTCTTGAATGTACATGTCAGCGGTTTAAAACGTAATTCTAATCTCTCCTTTTCTGCAAATTTTATAGTAAAATGTTATTTATTTACAACTTCATCCTCTAGGCCTAAGAACACAGCTGTATCTTTTTTTTTCCGTCATTCTTATATATACAAAATATTTATGTAATAAATACTGTATGTGTACTGTGTAAGGAACTTCTATCAAATTTGTTAAAAGAAGTCGGACCTGGTTATGCAATTTATATGCGTAGGAGTTTTGACATAATATACAAACTCATATGTCTATATAAATTATACGAGTTATATTTTATTGTATTATATTTCTTTGTAAAGTATCAATATGAAAGGCAGAATATGTTTAGACGATGTTTTCACATGGTTTTAAAACAAGTTCATTCGCTTACCGCTCGTACTGCGTAAAATATTTAAGTATGCAGTTAGATTAATAAAGATATAATGATATTTAGTCGAATACTTTGTTATGTAATACATCTCCTAATTTTATCGAATTCAAATTTTTATGTATAAACTATTAATATTTTTTTACAAGAATGTTCGTAAATTTTCATGTATAAGTTCAATAATTGTATATATATGTAGATCTATGATAAATTAATTTTCCTGTATTAATTGTGTTCTATGCGTAAAAACATTATATTGTGATAAGTTAAACCCACGATGTACAACAATACAGAGACTGAAAAAAAAAAAGAATAAAAGATCAATTTTTAATACATTCGAGTTATTCATTTATTACGCGCAATTGTACAAAATCAATTGGAAAATTCAGTATTTAGTTTAGAAACATTTCGATAATCAAGTCAAAAAGAAATATGTACTATTTTCATTAGAATGCAGAACTTGTATATGCAAGAGCATTAAATTACTACTATCATTTTAGAAGCATTCAATACATTTTCTCTCACTATGTATATTTAATTCGTAAATACTTGTTTTATTCTCTAGTATAGGATATAGAATATATATGTATGTTGAAAAAATGATACTGAAATCTCATTAATCTTGTTTGCATAGAAAAGTGATTGCAATATAACGGCGTAATAAACACATTCGGATGTGACCAACATGTACTTAAAAATATTTACAGATCTTGGGCGATGTTTATTATTGATGTAACAAAAATGCTTTACTATGAAAATTGAAAGGAAAAGTTGATAATTACACACACTTGTAAAATAAATTAGTATCTCTGAACAAAGAAGGTATTTGTAATTATGTAAACTAACGAACATTATAAGCTTGCCGAATATTTTTTCGCTTTTACCCTGTTCAGAGGTATGTTCTCTATACTCTATTTTTAGTTAATAAGTATACATACTTATGTAAAATATAATGAACCCGATGCTGCAAGCATCAAAAGCATATTAATTTTACCCTGTTGTGTGAGAGTTTCTAACATTTCTATTCTTATTTCATAGGTAATAGCGATGAATCTATAGTTTCAGTGAGTATAATATATAGAAAGAGGTAAATATATTAGTATTATCATATGTGCAGTATATTTACCTCGATTTTATGCAGTCGACAATTTATGTAATGCACGTAATGTACAAATATAGGTAAATACAGGTTTATTTATCATTATACGAAAGAGATGTTCTACGCATACACAATACTGAATTTTTGATGAACACGAATTAATGAGGCATCTGCTGTAAAGTACTTTACTATACTAACTTGATTAATGTTTAAGACGTCAGACTTTCCTTAATAAATGTTTTATGCGTACAATAATGTATTTATGATTAATGATCTATTCGATCCATATGTATGAAGACTTTTGGCAATTTTGATGAACTAATTATTTATAGCTATATAGTAACTTATAAATTTGTGTTAAACTTAAGCCTATCAGACTTATCGCATTATAAATTAATAAATAAATAACAATAAGAATCATATTATCGGTAAACGTAACAATAAAAATCATTATCGGTAATGAAAAAGACGCGTCTTTCAGTCAAGTGTAGGAAATATAATTTAAAATCTAGTTGAAATAGTTGAAAATAAGGAAACAGTATTGTAGTAAACATAAGAGGTATAGCAGTCTACAATAAAAAAAAAATCTCTAACTACAATCATTTATATGAAGACGAATAAATGTACAATGATGACAAGTGTGACAGTGACAAGTAATCTACCGAATAGACTACTTAACAAGGTACATTTTCTTTTTGTACAACAAAATGTTAGCTACCGCTTAGCTAATGATCACAGATATGAGATCAGGTATAGGGATATGGCACTGAAGTTATGCATTACTTGAACCAAATCTATCTCGAAATAATTAAACGTAGTTAGAACATTCATATTAGAATAAAATAGTGACGCTGACTGG